ATGTATGACCGGAAGAGGAGGCGGGAGGCGGGAATATGTCTGGCGTTTTGGCGGGAAGGAAGCCACTTACTACGCTTGCGCAACTGTGAGATGTTCCGAGATTGGTTTACATCAGCTGGTTCAACATCTGACTTAACAGCTGATAATTGTTGAAACAGCCAATCTCCTCCGAGACTGGGTTTGTGACTGATTGCACTTCAGACGATTGCGTGTTGGAGTGTCCTTGGATTTTGCTGTCTGGAGTTGTAAAATTTTTTCACACATTATTTAAATAGATTTGACCATATACATAAGCATCACTTAATATATATATATATATATATATATATATATATATATATATATATATATATATATTTCACACCATCAAATCCTATTAGGACGCTATGCTGCTATAGCCCGGGATCATTTAACCCTTAGGCTGGTTTTATGCACTGCGACAGTCGCGAGTCGCGAGTCGCGCCACGTCTTGCGGCTGATTATGAAAACAGCTGATTTGAACCAAGCAACAACAACAAACTGTGATACGCAATGAGAACTGTCTGTTTACAATTATGGTTATGTTTTTAATTTTTCGAATCATTTGTGATATTTTGCTTATATTTAATAATAATTCATTTTTTTCTATTGTTTGGTGAAGTGGTAAACCATTATGGCTATGGTAGATGTGTAATACTATAGTATACCATAAATTTAAAGAAGCAAATTTGATCAAACATAACTGTGTCCTCCCCCATTGCAAACTCGAAGCTAACTGTACTAAGCATTTTATACTTATATGCCAATCCCGTACGAAGGACGGGTACTCTGCTAGTGATTTAATATATATTACAAATAAAGGGTAAATAACTCATTTAAATACTAATCATTAACATTAATCAATATAAATATATGGAGAATATACCACGTGGAGTATGAAAAATACTACTGTCGCGCCGCGACTGTCGCGGTGCATAAACGTGCCCATTTGATCCAATAGAACTTGAACCGCGCGCGACACATTTTTTGAAGCTGCGATTCTAAAACCTGTCGCGGGTATTTAGAGATTTCCGAGTCGCTCGCGCGGCAGTTTGTCGCTGTCGCGGTGCATAAATGCTCCCATTTAACTCAATAGAACTTGAGTCGCGCCGCGACACGCGACACGCGACTGTCGCGGTGCATAAAACCAGCCTTACGCCTGTCGTATCGGCCGTCAACCGACATCGGCCGTTTCGCAATCGTATCACCTGTCAGCTAGAAAAAAATTAATGAAATGAAAATATATTTTTTTTTTATGTACGTTAAAATACTGGTAGGCTTAATAACGTGCATAATAAATTAAACCTAGGGCGTAGGGCATAGGCCCTTACAATGAGAGTGTTAAGGGCTAACACATTACTTCAGCTGGGTCTAGAGCTAGTGGTATTAGATAAAATCCATTGGTAACTATTGGGATTTTAACAAGGATTAGTTCACTCCCACAGATCTATGTTTGGAGGATGTATTTTCTCGTGAAGATACTATTTGAAATTATTGAGTGAAATATATCTCACGGCTTTTGGTTGTAGGCTTGCTCCAATACAGAGCAATTTATTATGTGAAATACATGTTCTTTTCTAAATAGCCAGGAACACAGCTTAAGATGGGATTAGATGATCACTCAGGTTAGCCAACATTATCCATTTAAAAGCGGATTGACTACATTTTAATCCCGGCCCTTAGATCAGAAGTCACGCTCTCCAACTACTAGACCAGTGATCCTCATATTGAAAATTAACTAACATATCTTAAATCAGAAGAATCAGAAAATCTTTACTGCATGGAATCTGAATCGAAACACATTTCCTATAAAATTCCACCCCTTCCTTCAGACATGGAATAAAGACTCACTCTTCATTATGTTTCAATTCAACAGTTTGAACGTTACCAATATTTATGTAAAGTGATATGAATAAATCATCTTAAATACTAAAAAACCTTTACAAAACTAATGACAGCTAGCCTGACCATACTAATGGACCAAATTACACGTGGTTGGTATAACATGAAAGACATTTTCCTGTAGATGTGCAGAATCCCTTTATAAATCAAAATAGGCTCTAAAATAATCGCAAAAATTAATTTATAATTGAAAAAAAATTAACGTCGACCTAATGGGTTACCATGTTAGTGAAAAATAACAACAAAATACAAATAAAAATCAAAACAAATGGAAAAAATCCAATCACATGTTTAATTTACAGCGTGGGGTGAAAATAGAGAAGTTTGCATAATACATACTTTTGGTCGAGTTTTCGACCACAAGACGAGCTCTCGTACTTACCTAGAGCTTACCTAGTCAAGACCTTCTAGATCACAGGAGTGTTACATTAGTATACTTATGAGCAACAGTGAGTTCTGCACGGTTTATATTTTAGAAATTATCCAACCCTTTTCTACTGATTATATAATTTATTCGATCAAACACCTTATCGCTGTGGTTGCACAATCGATGAGAACGAACGTTCAGTACGTGCAAGATTGTAGCCTCACTCACCAGCAATAACACTCTAATTAATCGCCAAGCACTGTTATTAGATTAGTTCAGCAGCCAGGAAGTGGGAAGGACTTGTGATATTGTCGATTAACCGGCAGCGAAGTGTCTGATTTGATAAGGTGGTGCAATTACAGTTTATCAGAGGTGCATGTTACTGCATTGTTTTCTATTTGTGTTGCCCTTTTGGAATTTAAATAAAGTTGAAGAAAATAGTAGACCAAATATTAAACTAGAGATAGCAGACTTTAAGGATGGTAATATTTTTTTTATACAAATGGAAATAAATTGTAAAATATAATGCTTATGTCACTAGTTTAATCTATTAGCGGGTGTTCTATACGAAGCTAAAATAACATTTTATAAAATACTTTCGAAGCCTTATTTCGTAATCCCCCTAAAATAACACAGTTTTATATTTGTATGCTAGGCTAAGTTATACTCACAAGAACATGCTTTTATTTGGTTCCAAATACACCGTGTCTCGTATATAAATACAACGAGTTAGGAATAGGTTTAATTGGTGGAAATAAAACGAACTAATTGCGAAATCAACCGTAACTATGGTAAGTGATAATTTGTATAGCAATTATACTTCCGAGGAATTACCATTGTTATTTGAGGAATTGAAAATGTAATTTCTGGAAATGTATATCCATAAAAAGTAATCAATAACCTAAGCTTTGACAGTTAATTTTTCGTCAATGATGAATTAAAATCGTCTATGTCTATACATAGGCACTCTGAGCATAAAGTAAAGACAAGTACTAGATAATTTTGTGTATATAAACGGTTGATTATGTACTAGAAACACTCCTAAAAACCCAATTTCAAAACTTTCTTGTCACAACAACCAATTATTTACTTTTAAGGTACCATTATTCTACAATTAATACTTAACGTTGTGCATGTTGAGTCTTAATAAATTCTCAACCACCCTAAACCTAATAAATAATCGACAATAAAGAACACAGGGATACCAACGTGTGAGCTTGTTTAGTTGTGTTGGGTGTTTTAGTTTGTAAATTGGGCAGCGTCAAAAAACTCTGTATTTGTGAATTGGAAAACTGTACTTACAACATCATGTGTTGTTCAGGTTTATCTTTTTCCTTACCTTGTAGCAGTGACACGCCACAACCACAACAATTGCCCACTAAACTCTCCACCATAACTCACCAGATCTCAAGCCCCCATAAACCCCATGAGTCAGCTGATTGATGTTTATTGCCGGAGAAAGTGTGTAATGAGTTGTGGATGACCACGACAAGCAACCCCGGGGTCATCTAGGCTTTCTAGCTTTACGTAACATATCAGGTGATAAATATTCAAGGATCCACCAACGGCACCAGTACGGGAAAGCTGTATCGTGTAACAGTGTGAAAGTATTTCCGATTCAAAGAGAACCAGTTCCTCTAATTCAGTTCCCAGAAGGTGTCGATTGCATGTCAGACCGCTAATTTTAGTGGTAATATACAAACGAGCGGTTACGTTTGCAAATTACGTGCGACTCTGTGACGCAACTCGGATGTAAACGCTGTTTTTAAATGTTCCAGCTTTCGGTTATGTGGTGGAAAATTACTTCAGTTTTTGTTTCTGCATAGCTAATATTCCTCTGTCTCTTCGTGAGATATTAAACTCTTCCAAGATTTGATTAAGCAATTTGAAATCTGCCATTTTGCTTATTATTTGTAAGATGTGTAAATCTATTATGATTTTTAAAATCTGTTTTATGCTTTTCTGTCTATTATTTATTATGTAGTGTAAAAGGACGATCACGTTGCAACAAAGGGATTCAAGCTAATATTAGCAATGCAAATAGTATAAAAAAATGGTAAAAATGCGTTGTCCATTTTTTAGGATTCAGTTCAAAAGGAGACTCAAAATGTGTTCAAGATGTGAATAGGTTTGTCCTAGAAAACTTGCTTTGAAAGTAAAAAAAGCATTATTACCACAGTTTCTAGGATTTTGTAAGCTGTCATTTTTAGAATATTGTAGTGCACACTTTGTGGGTTTAATAGGATTATGAATAAGTATATAAATATACATCTCAATAATCCAATGAGCTCATTAAATTTATCACTATAGTCATAGTTGAGTAATAAAACAATCAAACATTCAAGTTCATTAGCAACACCTTACAAGAATCTCTTCTAAATTTCTCAAATAATTTTGTCCAGTCTTTTTCAGTCAGAGACAAATTTTGATTTTTTCAATTGGTCTTCAAAAATTAACTTTCACTCTTTATTTTTGAAAATGTACTGGTTAGTACTTGTTTTGATTTGAATTAATGTTCAAGGAAACTGTTAAATAATACTTTTAATGTGTTAATTTAATTTGACGATCTTCGTGTGAAGATACAGAAAAACTTCATTGTTTCACTTGATGCTCCATGCAGGAGCAAAAAGCAGTGTTTAAAAAATGTAAACAGATTGCCTATTATCAGGTATTGCAACCTTTGACAAGGTTAAATAATGTAAAAACAACGTAATAATTTTTTTTATAAAAATACATTTATTTGCCACCGTGTTTTTTGTTGCAAGGTAAAACACACACCTTTGTTATTATACAATATTATACAGTTCCACCAAGTTAAGCGAGTTTAACCTGTACATGGATGGTTGCCGCTAGGTGCCCCGGGGCTCCATGGCAGTGAGGTTGGAGCCCTGGGGCGCTCAGAGGCCGGTCAGTCGTGTGAGAGTCTAGTAGGGGCCGCTGGCTCCGGGGGGTCCGTAGTTGGAGGAGGGTGCTGAGGGTCCGGTGCTGCCGCCTCCGTGTCCGCCTCCAATGCCAATGCCGCCTCCGTGTCCGCCTCCTAGACCGTCGCCGAGTCCGCCTCCGATTCCTCCTCCAATACCACCTCCAATACCACCTCCAATGCCGCCTCCGATGCCACCTCCGATTCCGCCTCCGATTCCTCCACCGATTCCACCTCCAACTGATCCGCCTCCAACAGCGCTTGTCTCCTTCTGTGTCTTGTACCTGATGAAGTATACCTCGGGCTTGGATGGTGCTGTGGGTGCGGCCGTGGGGATGGTGATCTCTGGGGCTTCCTCGGGCCTCTTGACCAACACGTAGATCAGAGTCTTCTCGGAGTCCTGGGACAGTTGAGGGATGACAGGTGCGGTAGGTGTGGGAGGTGTGGGTGCCTTGATGAAGATGATCTTGTAGTGTTTCTGGGGTGGAGGAGGAGGAGCGATAGGTCTAGAGGAGATGATCTCTTGCTCTGGGGGAGGTACGTGGACGTAGATGTGTTTCTGGACTAGAGGAGCCTGAGGTGCGTAGCTGGACAGACCGAAGCTGCCGCCGCCGCCACCACCGCCTCCGCCGCTCACTCCGAAACCGCCTCCGAATCCACCTCCTAATCCACCTCCTAATCCGCCTCCGAATCCGCCTCCAAATCCACCCCCGCTTCCGCCTCCGCTGTATCCGCCACCACTACCGCCTCCGCTGTATCCACCACCGCTACCACCTCCGAAGCTTCCACCGAAGCTACCACCTCCGTGGCCACCGCCGCCGCCTCCGTGTCCACCCCCGAAGCTGCCACCGCCTCCTGATGGGGCACCGTAGCTGCCGGATGGCGGACTGTAGGAGTAACCTGCCTCAGGACGGGCAGAGGCTAATGCCGTCACTGCCGAGACGAGCTGCAACATAAGGTTATCATTAGAACATTGACAAGCATCATGAAATATACTCTGCAAACACAAATAGTTACATTTGAATAAAGTTTATCAGATATATTAGTAAAAACCTAAATAAATAATTAGAGAGTATTAAAATTGGTGAGATTTAGTAGTTGTTGGCTCACAATGATGCATGAAACAGATTCTAGAGATGGCTGTTCTAAAATCTTCCGATTTTTTACTGTGATTCCTAGCAAAATCTATTGGGACAATCAGCTTCACCGGCTTGCAATACACAGACATGCGAATCTCTGTCTCGACTTGATGAAAGTAGATGAGAGAAAGGCCTCATTGGCAAATTTGCGCGCGAATCTAATGACACGTATGTAAATGCAACAACGCCACTTACGCGGAGAAAGTAGTTGAGTATGATGCGGTCTGCAGTCATACCGCCTCGACCTTCTCAATACTGTAATCTAGAAGCGGCACGACTACACATTATGTGGGGGAATTACATGTCTAACACGTGTGAGCCTTTGCTGTCTTAGAAAAAATGTTGCTTGTGTGTTTATGTGCGGTAATGTGTGATTCTTGCAGTAGCCTCAACAAGCATAATAACCCAAGTGATACGTGTGGATTGATACTAGAAGAGCGTACATATACGTAAATAAGTGTTTTAATAGTTTTTTTTTTTTTTTTATATTGTACAAGAAATTCATATTTTATAAATATCCTGTTTAAATTTTTCATAAGGATCAAATTTAAACTTTTTGGCAAACCGGCTACACTAAATATGGCATGTTCTGTACTGTAATTGAATTATATACATTTAAAAATCTGCAAAACGTATCAAAGATATCAGAGGCCTTAGATTCAGGGAATACTAATAGGCATACATTTTGTCATACCCTAATGCTTAAGATTGTTTAAATATACCTCAATTTATCAAAACATAGAACGCTCTTTTAGCAATGTGTATCCAAAACTCAATCCTAAGACGGTAAACTGAAAAAATGACAGTGATAAAACTAGAAGGCACAATTTAACTATGTGAATTATATTTTGTTCAGACCAATCGTAACCGAAATTTTCTAAGAAAAAGCTACACCCTCCCATGAAAAAAAACACACTCTCCATTTATAGACGGGCATTGCTTTACATACAAAATTATCACCACAGTCGATGTAAAAGTGTACCAGTGTGCCGCTGATGATTAGAGCACTACAGCTAAGTGTCTGGCGGTTCGAGAGTGAATGATCCCGTAGTGTGTACTACGACCTTGCATTCATTCATCAAACGCCGGCGAGAGCAACTCCCGTTTGTAACAACGATTCTGTAAGTTCCTGACTTATCTCGCATCTTACCCAGCGTTTGAAAATTTTAGAAAAATCCACAAAAATTTCAACAAGTTTACCTTTATGATTTGTATTTAGAAATATGGATACGATGACGGGTTGTCTTTCAAATCATCTAAAGCTGTTTAAAAGAACGAACTAAAGCGCAATTCGAAGAGTTAAAATTAAAAAAAATCTATTTCTGCCGTCCCAAGAAGCGAAAACTCAAATCAAACAACTTCAAGTATATTCCACGAGATTTTATGTCACAAAATTGGACGTAAAAACGAATTCAAATTTTAAAAAAACATGTTGAAAACATATTTAAAAGACAAATAACAAATGATTAGACTTTTTTTAAACTGCGTATTCACATTTAGTATCGAATGTTATAAAACCAACGCGCACTCTAATAACACTTTAATACTTTTCAATGAAATGGCGACCATACAAAGTAGATATTTTACGCCAAGTATGAATGGAGACGAGTGTAGGATGAGTACCCAAAGACAGATAATTGACCAATAAAACACAGTAAAAAAACTACTGTACTACAAATACGTCAAAACACACACTTTAAAAATTCACATAGTCCTTAAAAAAATCACTGGATATTCGCGTCACTGACACCTTACACTGAAACACTCACCACAAATAATTTCATGGTGGTAATAATCCTTGCACTGTGGCCGAAGCACTGATGCTACCATGCTGGACTTTTCTCCTTTTAAACCCTCCTCTCTCCCAGTTGGTCTTCGCGGAGAAAGAGACGTCCCTCCCCCCCCCCCCCAGACCACACATTCACTTTTACACCGACACCCATTATTGTATAACTTGGAATTTTTTGTAAGTTTCGTTTTGTCAAAAAATTAGATTTTTCATAAGGTAAGAAGTTTTAGATTCCTCGACATCCTTAAAATAAGGTTTTTACTGTTTTTCTATTTTCTCGCTCCAATCCATTTAACCTATAACTAACCATTTGACTATTTAACCTATTTCAAATTATATTTATTTAAATGGTAATTCTAAAATTTTGTAAACATGTTACAGACATTGTTGTTTGTTTTTTATGAAGGTAAACAACTTTCCCCTAGTTCTACTAAAGGGAATTTGTTGTGTTTTGTTGTTTTTCTGCATTGTAGTTTATTATGACAAAGCTTGTTTTATATTTTATTTAGATATGTAGAAAAATATTAAATTTATTGTTTTTTGAAAGCTTTCATTAAAGAGCTGACTTTATTTGTGTGTTGTTTGTTATGGCATCAGCATATGATTTGTTTTTTTGTACGTATTTGTGTTTTATATTAGTTTATTGTTCCTCAATACTAAATAATAAAGTACCTAACTATCCATTCAAAACTTTTATTAGTTATTTTTGTTTAAATTATGAAATTCACATTATTTGACGATTTTTGTTTGTGTAAACTATATTTCTTCAATGAATAAAGATATTTTAAAATGATGTTGAATATTTTTATTGGTCTAGGATAGTACTCGGGAAACTAGGTCGGGGCTCCTATCTTAAATGGAGGAGATCGCGAATGTCCTTCAGATGGTCATTTGATACTTTACAGAGAGAATGTACGTAATTGTACGTTAGATCTTGAAATGGGATGGGTAGTATTTATAGTTTTAATTGGCGGGGTTACAGTTGATCAAGTCCATTTTTCATAGGGAATAATCAATTCATAAACTTTTGAAACATGTACGTTTGTGTCAAAACATCTGTCAAAGAACAACTTTTACATTTTAGTGTTTATACTTTATTTAAATTGTACAATCATATTTGTCAGGGGACCAGAAATATCCACGATCTCTTAGACGTTATTTGAAAAATATATGAATCCATGAAGCATATGAATGGTTCTTTAAAAACTGTTACTTGTTTTAATCTGAGTTTCTGAAAATTATAACCTAAAAATGTGTTTATTTATAGGTCGAGACCAGACGTTTCCTGCATTAATTATTCGACTTATCTCTCAAAATGGTTAGAAAAGCTACTTAGGTTTGAATTATTCCCCTCATTCTCCATTAAAAACAGATATAAATTTATAAATGAAGTTAAAGATTTGAACCTACAAAGAGATGAATAATTAGTCTTATTTGATGTCGTAGCCCTTTGTCCGAGTGTCCCATTGATAAATTTGTAATTTTAATTTTTCCCCTCAAAATAAAAAATAGAAAATTTGTATGACATATTAATGCAAGAGTAATGATTATTGTCAGATTTGTAAAGTTGTATAGAAATAATTGAATCAAACTCGCACTTGTTATGGCGATGATGCTTAACTATTGCTAAGGACAACAAATTAAACGATAATCGTATATTTTGTATTACCTAATTAAAGTGTAATTAGTTTTAATAATCGGTACTAAATATTAAATAATAAAATAATAAACTCCACATATTTCCTAATACTTTATAAAATGGGCCTCCTCATAATATTTTATGGAAGTGTTACGGAACTTATATAGTATTTATATAATTTATTAGTATTGTTAAAATATTACAATTATTGGAAATACAAAAAAAAACTTTAATATAGAAAAAAATGTTTTGAATGACGTGACATCGAGATGGTAGAATATCAATTTATAATCATACAAATTAACGAAAGTGTCAATTATATCATCAAAGACCGTACTACCGTTACACACATTTTCAATCTAAAGCTAAAGAGTAAGCAACGGGGTTAAATAATTCTGAATAGGCACACCATCAAGTGTTAAAACCTTAGAAAAATGTTCTTTCTGCATGTTTCCAAACAGATGTAAGGATTACAAGTTACGAACATTTTTTCTCATTTGCTCTTGACACGTTGCATCACTTATCCATCTACTCATCTTCATATAAAATAATAATATCATCATTATCAATTAAAATGTGACACAACCTATTTAAACCATTATTTCAACATTATTTTAAACCAAATATGTTGAAGGATGCCTGTAGAACATCGATCTCTATTATTGCTGTAGTAATAATAGAGATCGATGGTGTAGAATGGAGTGTGATGTCTTGTGTTACTGACTAAGATCAGCTGTTTCAGAAGCCAGGACCACCATTAAAAGCCCAATGATCAAGGACAGGTATGTTCAGTTTTGAACCGTCAAAAAGCTTTACACTTTTCTCAAGATCGAACTGTTGACCTTCGATACAGAATATCATTATCCATTATAAACTAGAAAAGTTAAATCTGTAATTAAAATATGTATTAAAAAATTCTATTGGACATGGATCTGGGAAAATTATATTCACTGTTTGTTAACCTCAAATTCTTAAATGTGGCTATAATGTTACAAGAATGATAACTTGCAAAAACCACATGATGCATGAAAGCAATGGTAATTAAAATTTAAGTTTATAATGGTTATATTATTTATATTTATACATTTATATTTTTTTACAGACGAGTTCCTGATATAGAATATACCTCTACAATAATCCGTCATAAGGTAAGATTATTTCAATTTTATAATTTAGTACTGAGACACAGAGATGCAAATAAATAAAAAGTATATACCTATTGTCATTTCGTTTATTTGGTTATTAAAATATCATTGTGTATATGAAAATAAAATGGCTTCTATTTAATTAAGGCTGAATCCTACTCAAGTTATACAGTTCTGTGCTATAAATTATTCCATTTATACTTGATTGTTCGACCTTATGAGTAACATTTCCCCAGGACGCGAATATTTAGGACGTTCCTAAAACGCCGTCCACAGGACAGAAATGACAGTGTCCCCAAGACACCATCAGGGTATCCAAAACTATGCATCATCAAAACGCCATATGCAAGTTACCGTGTAGTCAAGACACTCTATAGACTTATGCGTCCCCCTAAACACAGTATATCCCCCAAAACACCCTGTAACCCTCCACAAAAAACCCCCGTCTATACCTCAAAACACCCCGTATCCACCCAAAACACCCTGTATCCCTCAAAGCCCCCCATACACCCCCAAAACACCTCGTATCCCCCAAAACCCACCGTCACCCCCCCCCAAAACACCTTGTATCCGCCAAAGCACCCTGTATCCCCCAAAACACCCCTGAACCCACAAAACACCTTGTATCCCCCCAAAACACCCTGTATCCCCCCAAAACACCCCGTATCCCCCAAAACACCCCGTATTCCCCCAAAACACCCCGTATCCCCCAAAACACCCTGTATCCCCCCAAAGCACCCTGTATACCCCAAAACACCCCTGAACCCACAAAACACCTTGGATCCCCCCAAAACACCCCGTATCCCCCAAAACACCCTGTATCCCCCCAAAGCACCCTGTATACCCCAAAACACCCCTGAACCCACAAAACACCTTGGATCCCCCCAAAACACCCCGTATCCCCCAAAACACCCCGTATCCCCCAAAACACCCCGTATCCCCCAAAACACCCCGTATTCCCCCAAAACATCCCTGAACCCACAAAACACCCAGTATCCCTTAAACCCCCCCTTCTCCCCAAAAACACCCCGTATTCCCCGAAAACACCGTGTCACCAGGGCATCGTATCCCCAAGTTTCCGTGTCTTCCCGAAGCGACAGTTTCCCCAGCCCCACTGACCCGCTGGGTAATGATCCGTGGCTAACGTCCATGTTGTTGTCCGTGATTATCTTATCAAAGACCGTCGTCATGGCTACGGATTTTATGTGCTATGGACATTAGTTATGTAAACCGTGCATTATGATGAGCCATGGATCGTCAATCTGGGCCAGATGCAACAATACAAGACAAACAACAGACAAACCAGAGAGGTTTAACGTAATTGTTGACAGAATTTTTGGATTCGAATCTATTTTCCATTTATTTTATGTCCAAGATTATTATTAAAGCGTAAGATATGTGTTTGTAAAGATCGTTAAAAACTGTCGAGTTCTTTTTTTTACACGTGGGTTGATTGAAATATCAAATTGATATGTATTATACTCTTGTTAATTTCTACATTCATTCCTACCTTGTACGTGTTTCAATACAATGTTAAAATACATTATGCGTTGGAAGATGTTTAATCGTTTGTAGTCTAAGTGGAAAACTAAAAGTAAAATGAAGATGCACAAATACCGTCACTTTCGAAGTTCTCTAGAATTTAAACCCATTGGCCCCAACGTAATAACAGACCAATTTAGCCATTAAATCACCCTCGGCAAGAAAATCTAGATTACGAGGTTTCGTCTAGTTAGAGCCAATTAAAATGCATCATGTTATTAAATCCAAAAGAAAGCTATGGATAGCATCAGAGCAACAGAGCAATTTCTATTAAATATCTTGATAATAATCCAGTTAAATGTAAAATCCTAAAAAGTTTGAAAATTTTTAATCACATTTTGTAAAAAACATTACAATTATTGTAAGACATAAATCATATTTTAATTATTCAAAAAACGGTGATAATATTTCTAAATGTAATAAAACAGTGAAATAGAGTATTTATTACAGTACACAGCGTTTTTATGATTAATAGTAGTTTATTTATTTTATATTTTTCTAAATAATAAAAAAAAACATATTGAAAATCTGGTTTTATTTTTAACTACGTCATTTGAAAAAACAGTCAGTAGAGGTCCTGTTTTCGTACATTTTCAGTAGTAAGGTAGGAAAAAATACATGGGGCCAAGATTGAGTTTGGTAATACATATAATATATTTGATTCTTATGTAGAACGACCCTGTTTTCAATCATTGAGTCATAAGTGCCTGCCAACAACTTTTTAACTC